ATCTTCCTGCTTTAGGCTTTTGAGTACTGGGATTATGGTGTGTGTCACCATGACTGTCCAAACTATTTTTAAAATAAGGCAATATTGATAGTTTTAAACATTTTAACCTAGAATAAAATATATCTCCTTCGAAGACTGTTTCTGCATCCACATAACTTGAGGTATAGAATAGAGAGTTAGAGCATATCTTCAACATGATAGCTAATATGGCTAAGGAATATAGAAAATTTAAATTTGAATATTGAACTTGATGGTATAGGAAGAATAATTTGTTACATCTATGATTATGTTTAGTTGGTTTAGCAGTATTACAAGGACTACCAGCTCTGATGCTATATTGTCTACATTTATTTTTTTTTTTTTTACATTTTCTAGCATTTGATCATGGATAGTTTAAGTATTTCCTGTTTCAACTTTTCTAGCTCTCTTTATATTTATCCTTCTACAATGCATATGCACCTTGAACTATGCTACTACACCTATGGCATTTTGAACCAGTAAGTGCTCATCTTTATTACTATGTAGATATCATTTCTGTTGCACATTATGAAGGTGTTAACTGATGTCAAATATGATAGTTAAGTTCCAAGTTATGTGAATTTTGATATGGAATCAATACTTCCCTCTACAAAGAGTAAAATATAATGAAAGTGAAAATGAATTTTTCTAAAATGGTTTGTATTTTTAGTTGTTTATAAAACATAAACATAATATATCAATAAAGATCGGTAGAATATACCCCCATAAATTATGATACTTTGGAATAAACATTCTATTGAACTGAAAACAATTTGAAAGAGTGAGACAGAAAACAAGAAAGAACAAAAACAAAAACAAAAACAAAAAACCTTTCTTCTTTTTCCTAACAGCAAAAAAAAAAAAAAAAAAAAATCACACACACACACACAAAAAAGACACAAATTGACAGACTCAGGTCACCCCTTCTCTCCAAGAAAGGACAAAGGGTCAAGAGAGAAAATAACTTAGTGTGTTGGTCTGCAGACAGTACACAGTAATATACTTCACAAAAGTTACAGTAAACTTTATCTGTATTAATTAATTTCCTAAATATCTTTCTTCCAATGATTTGCCACTCTTGAAGACTCAAAATCATCTCTGTTTTATCACTTCCCTAAAATGGAACTGTCCTTTGTGGGAGACACTGTATGAGCTCAAGTTCCAAGACATGTTTTTGAGAATTATTCACTCTCTGAGTAGCTCTCATTCACATGTGAGATATGCATGCTATTAATGCTCTTCTTATAGTCTTTTGTTAGAGAGTTGTACACTAAGAGCAAGGAAGTTAAAAGCAATTGTTTTTCTCTCTTACAAGAATCATGTTACTCTTTATACTCAATTTACAACCATGATATACTCTAAAGATTGTCTTTCTCTCTTGTTTTTGAGTTTCTTAAACATTGTATGTATACAGTTTATAATTTAGTATTCATATTGAGTTTATTTTGGCATCAATATCCAAATTTACCTTCAAAAAAAAACCACAAAATGCACAGGTACTAAGATTCCAAATTAAGTCTATGTGCATATGGCCATATTGTCACTTGAGTAGTATAATACTTCTAGGTTCCAGGAGCCCTCTCCAGTAAATACAAATTATTGACTGACTGATTCTACTGAGTATTGAACAGTAGATCTTTAAAATGAGTTCTATCCCTAGCATCTTTATGTTTTTGTTTTGTTTGTGTTGTGTTTTGAGAGAGTCTTGCTAAGTCACTAAGTTTCCTGGGCTGGATTTAAACTTCCTTTTTGTTTTAAATTTTATTTTAAAAAGGGTAAAACTTAACAGAACAAAACAGAACAAAGCAGATCAGAAGAAAACAATGTAAGACATACAGATTTCAAACAAGACAACAGGAGATCATCACTGTCTATCATATTGCCTCTTGTTTGCTTCTAAATATTTGTCCATATTTTCACACATAGTGAATTCATACAAAACAGAGGACTTGCTCATTCAGCCATATTCATTTAGTACCCCATGAGGGCCAGCATTGTAGGAAGTACGTACCATGAGGCCATACTTATTTCTGTATCTGAGCCATGATATAGGGAAAGAAGGTACTGAAAAATAAATATCATATTTTTAAGTAAATAACTCAAATTTTTTTGTCAAATAAAGCTAAATATTGGAATTCACAGCCAACCCCTTAATCAACACTGCAATCAATGCATTGATTTCTTTGTTAGACAGGAATATCTTGATTGGCAGTCATTTGTGCTAAATATATTTTATGCTCTTTGCACAGTTACTGTAGAGCATTGATTCAACTTCAAGATATTGACACACTGGGCAGTTAAATACCGTTGACCTTGCTAGCTTAATATTTCAATGCAAAAAGTTTATCAGTCATTGTTTTTCTTCATTTGAACTTTCAAATATATCAAAGATTTCAGCAGATGAAACATTACTTTTAAAGTAGATAAAATATTATCAATGAAACAAATTCACAGCATGAATAGCTTATCATTGGAAACTAAGGATTAAAATTACTCTCCTTATAAAGGATTTACAGTGGGAAGTTAAGTTATTTGTGAGCTCAGTATGATAGAGACACCACCTAATATGAACTTACGAACAGAGGTAAAAATGGCTGTGGAGAAGGCTCAACTTTGCAGTAATTAGTAACTATAAGAGCAGTATTTCAAATGAACCATTCTATTTAAACTAATTTTAGCTCATAAAATAACCTAAATATTAAAAATATAAGATATCATTACATATGAGCTCTTTTATTTTTTATTTTTCCAAATCCATTTTATTTCAAAGGCAAAAAGAAGAAAAATAAAGAAAAAGACTAAGACAAAATTTTATACATGAACTTATAACCATGCTTATCATTCAGATTATTTATTGAATTATTGTCTTATAGTAATAGTAAGAAACTACCATTTCTTTTCATTTTTCTTAATTTAAACTGGTTCTTGATTATGTACGTGTTATATTTCATTAGCAGAAGTCAAGCAAAAAGACATAGATTATACACTGTATTGATAGACTAATACAGATTCATTGAATTAGTCATAGAACTTCAGGACAATTGTCTTATTTTCCTCAAGATGTTGATCTTAATGGAGGTAGAATTATTATTTCCAAGTTAAAATTTTGCTGCAAATTTTTATTAATTTGATTTTATTACTTAACATAGTTACTATGTGATTATCATTCTTAATAACTTTATGAACACTTTATAAGTATGAGAACTAAAAACTAATTTGTGATTAAAAGGCCAGTAATGATGCAGTTCATTGTGTAATGTCATAGGATGATTAATTTCCCTCTTTTCTTCTTTCATTTTTTTCCTTCTATTCATTCTTTATTTCACTTTTTCTTTTTTTTTTTTTTTTGGAACTTTTTTCTTTTATTTGATTATCAAATAAAATTGTTTGCCTTCTATTTAAACTTGGCTTCAATTTCAGAGCCGGTTAATTGAGGAGAATAACAAAGAAAAAATAATTCTTATGTAAACTATTTCTGTACTTACGAAAACCATTCTATTATTTTAAGTAAATTGTTTTTATTGAAATCATGACTTTTTCACTCAGATATATTCCCTGACCTTTATTATATTTTATTTTGAGATAAAGTTTTGATAACTTGTGAAGTTGCCCAGGCTAGGCTCAAACTTGATATCCTCCTGCCTCAGACTCCTAGAATATTGACAATACTAACTCATGTGACCCCAACACACTTATAGGTGAATTTATTTTTAAATTTCACATTGCATTTTGTTTTACATAGAATCAATGGCTTTCAAACTTCTTTTAAACCAAAATAACATTTTTTTTTACCAAGTTTATCAATATATGTTTGACAAATGAAGCATTGTTCCCAAGGTGTTATCTTAGTTACATTTCTCCGTTACTGAGACAAAATATCTGACACCCAAAATGAAGGAAGGATTTAGGTCACAGTTCATGGAAGCTTCAGCCCATAATCAGCTGTCTCCGAATCAGGGTGTCATGGCTGAGGGGCAACATAGCAGCTGTGGCAGGTATCAAGAGAGGCAAGAGCAAAAGTGTAAAAAGGGAGTAATGCACTCCTTCCTTCTCTTGTATTGTATGACAGCTACCTGCCCCAGGAGGAGGCAGCACTCGCACTGCTAATCCCAGCACTAGGCAATGAACCAACCCCAAATGCTGGCCTCAGCCAAAGGTCCATCCCTCATGACCACATGAGGCTTTGGGAAAACATTTAAACAGAAACAATAACAGGTGTGCAATGCAGTATTTTGATATAAACATCAAATATTAAGATTTACTTTAAAACAAATGTTTCAATAAATGTAGTCTTAGAATAAAAATAAATAAAATGATCCCTGAAGAATAAAGAATCATAGACATTTTTATAGTGTTTTTGAGACAACTGATTATTCATAGAGCATATACACACAGAATAAAAATTAAAGAGAAGAGATTGGATTACTGCCTCATAATCAAATAGATTACAGGAAAGTATAAAACAAGAATTACAAAATCTTTAATAAAAATATAATTTTATTGATTTTAAGTTAGAGTTGATGTCAAATATGAAAACTGCTTACTAATGAGACCATCTTAAAGTTAGAAGTTATTTTCAGTTCTCAAATACATAAATATATCACTATAAAAATAAACTTGGAAAATACATTTGAAGCATTATCTGTTTAAAATGTTTTATCGTGTATATATTTCAAAGAGTGAAACAATTCCTAGAATGCCCATAAACAAGAACCAAAAGGAAAAAAAATCAACAATGCTTATGTTTCATTACTAATCAGGAATATGCAAAGCAACATCATAAACTATATATACATTACACTGGCAATGTTTGACAATACCAAATATTGTGAGAGCATACAATATAAGAACCGATGCATACAGCTAATGGGATAAATTTATCCAACTAGTTAGAAAGTAAATTTGACATTATTTTGTGTAGTCATTCTATGGTCTTGATGATATATACCTTATGAAAGGCCCTATTTTTAAAGGTTTGGTCTAGATTATAATGACACCTTGATAATGATGTGCATTCTTGACTGAGCAGTGGAGAAACCTAACTTGGAGAGTTGAGCATACAACAGCAACAACAAAAACAACAACAACAACAATAATAATAATAATACAAAAATAAGATTTGTTCATTGGAGTAGTGTAGAGGGAGGTAGAAGCTATGTGAGGTGGTGCTTTGTGAGAAGTCCTTAAGTCCTTTGCAACATGCTTCAAAAGAAGATGTGCATCCCAGGCTTTTCTCTCTCTCTCTCTCTCTCTCTCTCTCTCTCTCTCTCTCTCTCTCTCTCTCTCTCTCTCTCTCTCTCTCTCTCTCTCTCTCTCTCTCTCTCTCTCTCTCTCTCTCTCTTTTTGCTTTCCAGCTCATGATGTAAGCAGTTTTGGTCCACTTCACACTCAAGTACAGATGTCATATCCTGCCTCATCACAAGCCCCAAGGAGTGGAGTCAGTCAGTCATGGACTGGGACCTCTAAATCTTTAAGATGAGATGAACCTTTGTCCATCACAATTAATTAATTTTATTATTTTGTCATAGTAACAGAAAGCTGATTGAAAAGAAGTTGTGTGGGGAGTAGGGCCACTTTGACATCTATAATTGATAACAGTATGTGGAGAACATTTTAGTTTATGGAAGGAGCTTGGAACCATTTAGAAAATCAGGCTGCAGGAAGCTTAGAATGGTACAGGTGAAGTTTAATGGGTTGGCCTGTTGAGGGCATTTAAGACCTCAGTGTGGGTGAAAATGTGAACAGTACAAGCCATGATGATCAAATTTATTTATGAAAATAAAGATTCTATCCAGAATTGAATTTAAAACTGTCATTATTTTGGGGCAAGCAAAATGGTTACATGTTTTTCATGCCCTGATATTTTCTGGGCGCCTGTCTTAGTTACATTTTACTCATTGCTGAGGCAAAATACTTGAAGCTCAAAGTTGGGAAAGGAAAGGTTTATTTCTTACAGTTTTTAGAGGTTTCAGTCCATCCTCAGTTGGCTCCAAGGCAGGGTGGCATGGCTGGGCCGCAGTTCATGGTGGTTGCAAACAGCAAGGCAGAAACCTGTAAAAGAGCCAGACATACCTTTTCTTGCCATTGCATTACATCCTGGCTCCACTCCTAGGCCAGTGTAGCGCTCACACCCCTAATCCAAGGGCTAGACAATGAACCAATCACAAATGTATAATGCAAATGCATAAGGACTGGAGGCCACCGACATAAACCATGACAGGGTCTGAGCTTAATGGTGATGAATGAGTTTCTCTGTTGGATAATATTCTAAGGCATGGCTGAATGCATATTGTAGTATGGGTATTACTAGCTACCTTTAACCAATTGTACTGTAAGAATCAGGAGCAAAGAGGAGAAGAGCACAGATTTTTTTTTTTTTTAATTGTAGCTTGTCAAGCACAGAGATGCTGTAAATGTGTGGACTAAGAGGTTGCAGTTGTTCTCTTTAACAAAATGAAGCTAAATGCTTTGCACTAAGATCAAAGAAAGATAATTCAGAAACATCTCAGGCATTTGCAAAGCTACAGCCTTCACAGGCTCAAAGACAGAAATATAAATTTATTCCAAAGACTTTGCAGGGCAAAAATTAAAAAAAAAATCTCTAAGGTTCTCTGATCACCTGCAAAAGCCCAGAGAATTTTTTTTTTTTTTTTTGAGAATTCATTTTCATGCATTCACTTGTCAAGACACTCAGAGGATGTGGCAGTCCTGGGGGGTACCGTCTACCAATAGGTGACCATAGAATCACCCATATGATGATTTTGCAAGCATGATGAATGCAAGTGCTGTTGGCTCATCTTGACATCCACCAAGATTTTAAAGGGAAATCTGGGAGGCTAAAGAATGTGCGACTGGCATAGACTCCCCAAAAGCAGTCACTTCAGGAAATGGACGAAGACTGGGGAACAAAGCAGAAGTTATAGCAGACACCAGGAACCTAAGTGTACCAGCAGGATACAAAGGAAGCTGCAGCCAACATGCAACCTGACAAAGAAAGTGCCCATGTATGCTGTAACCAGTAAAAACATTGCAGAAGCAAGACAGTCTACCTTTCACCACTGTATGTCCCAGATAACGTCAGGGCATTATAATTTAACATTTTTCCTGCTAGGTTTTGGTCATGCTTCAGGTCACTCTCTCCTTTTCATTCCTTTATCCCTCATTTTTGTAATAAATGGAACTGGGACTTCACTACCACTATATGAATTTATTTATTTGTTTATGTATTTATTATGTGGGGTGTTTACTTGAGTTTGCATTGGGTTTCAGAAACATTGGATTTGAAAATTTAAGCAATGGTGAAATAGCTAAGACTCTGATAATTCATAGAGGAGTGAATGCAATTTGAATTCCAAAATGAAAATGGAACTCAGGGAACAAATATTGGAACACTATGATTAAAACATTTACTATCTCCAAAGGCTTTTGTGTTAAAGCTTGCCCACTAGGTTAGCACTCTCCTAAGGGTATGATGTCTTGAGGGCTGGGGTCTTGTAGGAAGTAATTAGGTCACAGAGAACATGTGGTAGGAGCAGATTGTTGGAACCTCAGTCCTTCGTTTTTGTATTTTTGGCTAATGACTCACAATATCAGGGCCACACTTGACTCTCCAAGGTGGTATGCATTGCCCCGGGGCCAAAACCAGAGCATAGCTTGAACTCCCCAAAGTAGAGGTCCAAATGAGCCTTTTATTTTCATATGTTAGTTACCTTAGGTATTTCTTTATAGTAACAGACAACTAGCTCAGGCTTGTTTGCAAGTTCTGAAAATAGTATCGTTATTTCTAGGCCTAGACAAGTTTATCACATATAATTTGGAAAACGCAGACAAGACTGTTCAGAGCACCATTGTAAATAATTAGCTCTAGACAGATTCAAAACATGAGACTAGGTAAGTAATTAATAAGTTTTACTAAAGTAAAGTTACTAGGTAATGACAAAAATTAAAAAATATCATAACAATAACATGAATGAAATTTTGATACAGTTTTCAATAATAAATGAAAATATAAAAGCTTTATAAGGTATGAAGTATTTTAAAACCTTAAGTATAATTAATAATGCATTCTGTAAGAAAGTATACATATATAGGATGTAAAAATCAAAATCAAAACTTCAAATAATCAGGAAATTAATTTCCCACTACAATAAGAAATGAACAATACAGTAGTAATGGTTGTAATTTCATATTTGTTTGCTACACATCACATATTATAGGCATTTTATTATACTTCATAACTTAGAATATATATATATATATATATATATTTTCTAAACATATATATATATTTTCTAAACATATATATATATATATATATTTTCTAAACATATATATATATTTTTTTTTCTAAACATATATATATATATGTTTTTCTAGGTTTTCTAGAATTAATAAAAGCACCAACTATAAATACCATTATCTTCCCTGGCAGCATTTATTCCAAAATAAGTGTGTTTTCCTAACAGGTACTTCCTTCAACAAAGAAAACCAAAAAGCAAATACACAGTGGCATTTTGAGGTGAGTGGTTGAAAAAGTGCCCCGGAACTCAGCAATGGAGAGATGGGAGCTCTGTAAGAAACTGAGACCTAGGGTGGAGGCACAGAGAAATCAAAAGTAGGGAAATTCAACATTATGGTGAGAAGATTAAACAAGAGAATCCACCGAAGTCCCATAAGCTTCGTAGTGGCAATTCCACAGTCACCTCGGACAAAGACCTCAAGGAAAGGATCTTCTACAAACCTGTGCAAGAGCTGCGCTACAGGGAGGGAATTCACATCTCCTCTTCTCCGAGCCCTACAACAGGCTCCTTCTGAGTCTTAGAAACAGAGCTAATGTTAAAATCCATCCATACTCGGGGGAAAAAGTTTCTGTGTATTCCCATTCCTGGGGCTCTCAAAAATTTTAATTGAGGTCCACAGGACTTTTTTCTAAATGTTCATGTAATTCTCAAGTTTAAGAAACTTTTTACTGGTATTTTTCTCTAAATATGTTTTCTGCTTTTCATTTTCTCTTTAATATGTATTAATCTATCAATTCAAATTATTTAATAAGGTCATAAATTCCAGGTCTTTGTTCTTTTTTTTCTAAATTTTTAAAGTTTTGTCTGGCTGAGATATTTTTAAAAACTTACCTTTGGGTTCAGAAAACCATTCCTTGCTTAATGCGCTTTATTATTTTTGGAGTTTGCTTCATTTTGTTTGGTTTTGTGGTGCTGGGGCTCAAACTCCGCTTTGTGCATGCATGGGAAGAACTTTACCACTGAGCCACTTCCCAGATCCTGCACTTAGAGGATCTCAAATTTCTACTTAAATAGAGTTGCACCTGTAGGATTCAGTCTAGTCCCAAAAAAAGCAGCTAGAGCCACAGAACTGAAGGCCATTAAAGGTCAGAAAAGCGTGTGAAAGGCGGCGCAGGATATGAGGAAGGACACTTCAGGACTTGAAGAAGTAATATGCTTATTTATCCCTGGGGCTCTGGGACCTGTTGCTCCTTGGCCCTAACTGCCCCGCTCTTCTGCTTGACACTCCTGGTACTCAAATTGAGCTCCCAGTGTCCTATAAAACAGACTTAAGTCACACATTATAAAAAGTGAAAAGCCAGGCCATATGTACTGACAAAGGGACCAGATTAGCTAGAAGAAATAACAACTATAACCATACACAATCTCTTGCGTGAACCATACATTATTAGGTCTATAGCAGAAAAGCAGAGCAGATACAATAATAGTTAGGGAATGTAACACCCTATTTGCAACAATGGACAGATCATCAAGACAAGAAAAAAGCTAAAAAAGAAACATTGGCCCGGGGATTTACGCAGTGGCATAAGTGCCTGCTTGGCAAGTACGAGGCTATCAGTTTGATCCCTTGTAGCAAAAAAAAAAAAAAAAAAAAATCGGAATTGAACTATATTATAAATTATATTGACGTAGCAGACATTTATTTATAGAACACTTAATTTAACAATAAAGTAGTCATATTCTCCCTTTTCGCACATGGGGCATTTTCGCAAATCATATGTGCTACACAATAGCCTAAACAATTTTTTTAAAGAATTCAAAC